TTTTGCGCATCATTATGATTAATATTATTATTATTATCATTATTATTGTTGCCATTGACATTACTATTTGATTTGCTTAATAGTTCATATTGAGCAACAGGAAAAGTTTTAGATTTTAAGACAAATTTCCACATTCCATACACCTACACATCTGTATGTGTGCATATATGTCTATATAGATCAGTCCCCTGTGTCTATATATTTATATATCATATGTATATATACCATAGTGTCCATAGTTTAAATGTGATAAAAGGAAAAAGGAAAAGGAAACATAATGAAGCAGCAGAGTATCTAGTAACTAGTTGATATTATATCTTATACCTTATACATATGTATATATGTATGCTTATTCCACAATTATTTTAATTTGCAAGTCCTTGACTATTGTAATTCTGATTTCATCTGAACAAAAACCTACTTACTTTATTTTTTTTTTATTTTGTTCAAACGGAAACGTTGAAAAACAATTCCCTACAAATTGTTATATTATATAGTTTATGCTTAGGCCTAGCTTACCACCTAGTCTTACATATACATATATGCATTTATTTGATTTGTTATACTTTTTGTAACTGACCTCATTTTTGTTGTACAACACTGCAAAAGCACAGTTTCCTTAAGTTACACACACACACACACATACACAATATATATATATTTACATAGGCACACGCACAGACAGCGAAGAGAGAAAAGCTGACCACAGCCTGAGCAATGCAGTGCGTTTAGCTGCTATCTCTTTCGCTCTGCTGGCATTTGGCTAAGTGCTTAGCTACTCTAGTCTATGGCTGAGCTTCGACTTGCTCGCTCACACCTGCTCCAAATTAAGTTAATATTACAATTTAACAACAAACAAACAAACCAAACAAAAAACAATTTTCTTTCAGCACGAAACTCTGTACAAAAACAAATGCGATGAAAAAAGAAAACGTACAAAAAAAGAAGATAAAAACAAAAAATGAGTCTAAATGCAAAAGCAAACTGAAAATCCAAAACAAAAATCAGATCGAAATCGAAGAAGAAATTAATAAATTAATAACTAATAATAAT